TAAAAAGCAGCAACGCCACCAGAATCCAACTGTGTAACACCCTGTAAACTTGCAGGTGTCTCAGCAGCTGGATGTCTGACCGGATCCTTCCTGCACATGGTGTAACTGCACCATTGGGTGGTCAACTCAGGTGGGGAATTGTATCACTGTCATTGTCCTGATATTTCCACAGTATCTCCATCTGTTGTCTCTCCTGGCTGGGTGATCAGGTAAATTTTAATCCGGTGGATAGAACATCCATACAGTTTCTGTCAACCGTCTGTGGTGAGATTTTATTTCAGTCTGTTAAAGCTCTTTCTACCGTCAGTTCACTGGAACACTCACTCAGTCTGTGTAATTGGTTACGACTCTTTCGACAGTCTACTGGAAGACCATATGTAATAGGCACAGGAGTAGGCCATTTGGTCCCTTGAGCCTGTTCTGCCATTCAATAGGATTGCGGCTATCTGACATTCCTGATGTCCACATTTCCAGCAATTTTTCTGTAACCCTTCGTTCCCCTACTGATCAAGAATGTACCTATCTCTGCCTTAAAAATGCACAAGGACTCTGCCCTGTCAGCTCTCTGTGGCAAGAAGTTCCAAAGACTGTCAACCCTCTGAGATGACAACTGTCCACATTTAAATTATTCTGAGACTATTGTTTCTAGTCTGAGACTCTCCAATGAGAGGTCAAATCCTGTCAGCATTTACCCTGTCAAGCCACTTCAGAATCTGATTACAGCAACGAGAGGTGATCTCATTAAAGCAAAACTCCAATGCGTAGTGTTCCAATCACTCAGTCTGTGTCACTGGTTAAAGGCCTTTCCACTGGGTACTGTTACACCCTTACTGAGTTTTTAAAAATCACTCTTGGTTTGAATCTGAGAGCTGAACGGTGACCTCTGGACAGTGTGCAGCAGTTGTGTTGAAAAAGAATACAAAACCTGTTGCTTGTTTCTGAGGCCAGGCCTGGAAGTTGATTGCAAGTTGTTTCTTGATCAAAAACTCTGCAGACTCTTTTGGCCATTAATGAGGTCAGTATCTGGGAGCTAGTGCCAGCAAGTCTGGGAGAGAACCTCTTCAAACAGAAGGAAGTGCCAGAATTCTTTAGAACTGGGGCTTTCTGAGGAAAAAGTGTTTGGCTGTTGATACAACAGCATAACGATTTGACAATCCTGTGTACCTGTGAAACAAGGTATCATCGAAACTGCTTAAGTAATCTAATCAGTTTTGTTTTGATCTTTTAATTTATCCAGTGACTGTTCTTATAGCTGTCTTTTGGGTGAATGGGATTGGAAACGAAGGTTATTGGTTTAAATCATTGCTGTGTTCATTGAGGAGTATGTGCAGTATGTTTTTGGGAGATGCTTGTGCTCGTGACCGAGACTGATGGTAAAATATCCACGTGCACATCTTTGGCTGCCAGTGTGAAAGAGGCTGGGTGAAAGACCAGAGTAGAGGGAGAGAACCAAGCAGGTTGGGAGCGTATGGTTTGGATATTGGGGTTATTCTTCGCCCATCACCCCACCACAAAAGCCAGCCCATTGTTTCTCTCACTGCTCCCCTTACTCAGCCATACACCCTTCCGTACCCAAAGCCCCCGTCCCCCCCCTCCCTTTCCCTTGCTTCCCCCAGTATCAGCAAACTTCCAAAGATATTTCTTACATATTTTGTTGCTTTTCTCAGAACATTCAACGACTTGAGAACTGGATAGAAAATGAGAGCCAGAGCAGCCACTCCAGAAGCTTCCAAAATCACTCTGCACCTTCTTGAACTACTGCAGTTGGTGTGGTGAAGTTGCTCCGAGATTAATGTTTGGTAAGGAGTTAGAGTTTTCATCCAGTGGTGATAAGGTAGTGCTGATATCTGTGTCAGTTATAATCACTTTGTTTTTATATCCCACCTTCAACAGAATATAAACATAGTAAATAGGAAGAGGTGTAGGCCTTTGTAGCTTTTGATCCTGCTCCACTAGTCAGTTTGATCATGGCTGATCATTCTACTGAGTAGCCTGTTCTCACTTTAGACCCATACCGTTTGATCCCTTCAGCGCTCACGACTACGTATATCTTCTTGGAAACATTCAATGTTTTGGCCTTAACTGCTCTCTGTGGCAGCAAATTTCACAGGGTCACCAGTCTCTGCGTAAAGAAATGTTTCCTTAACTCGGTCATAAATGGCCTAGCCCATGCCTGTAAACTGTGACTCCCTGGTTCTGGACTCCCTGGTCATTGACAGCATTGTTCCTGCATTACCTTGTTGGTCCTGTTAGAATTTTATTCATTTCTGTGAGATCTTTCCTCATTCTTCTAAACTCCAGTGAAGTTCAGCCTAACCAATCCATTCTGTCCTCATACGTCAGTCCTGCCATTCCATGAATCAGTCTTGTGAACCATTGTATACAGCCTCCATAGCCATAACATTCTCCCTCTAATATGGATTCCAAATCTGCACACATACTCCAGATATGGTCTCACTTAGACCCTGTACTAATTTCAGCACGACATCCCTGGTTCTGTACTCAAATCTTCTTGCTATGAAGGTCAAAATACCGTTTACCTTCTTCACCACCTGCTTCACCTGCCTGCTTACTGTCAGTGACGTGTTTTCCTGGTTTTGTAATCCAACTGGATAACCTTGAATTTAAGACAACAAGGTGTAGAGCTGGATGAACACAGCAGGCCAAGCAGCAGCAGAGGAGCAGGAAGACTGACATTTTGGGCCTAGAACCTTCTTCAGAACCTTGAATTTATCCAGATTATACTTCATCAGCCTTGCCGTTTTTCCCCACTCACTCAAATCCAAATCATACTGAAGCATATCCGCATCCTCAAACAGTTCACTGTCCGACCTTGGTTTATGTCATCTACAAGCTTGCAGATAAGACATTTAAGTTTGCTCCTCTAAATCATTAATAGATCGTGTGAATATCTGGAGCCCAGCACTAATTCCTGCGTTCCCACACTGGTCCCTGGCTGCCACACAAAAAATGACTGTTTGTTTATTCTGACCTGTCTCCCAACCAGTTCTGTATCCCCCGAATACCCAGTCCCACGTGCTTTAATTTTACATGTTAATCTCTTCTGTGGGTCTTTTTGAACGCCTTCTCAAAGCACAAGTAAAAGCACATCCACTGCCTCCTTTTCACCTGTAAATGTTGAATTCTTGAAACATTCCAGCAGATTTGTTGAGTGTGATTACCTTTTGTAAATCCATGCTGACTGACTCTGTCCAATCCTATCATGGTTTTCCAATGTTAGACAAACTGGTCTATAATTCCATGTTTTCTCTCCACCTCCCTTTTTAAATAATGGGGTTACACGAGCTACCCTCCAATCCATAGGAACTGTTCCAGAGTCTATCGAATCTTGAAAGATGACCACCAATTTCCTCTATTTAGATTCAAGCCCCTAGCTTCAGAATACATTCACTACCGCTCAGGCTACTTTGTTAAGTACTCTGGGGCGTAGATTACCAGGTGCTGGGATATGTTGGCATTTAATCTCATCGATTTCCTTAGCACCGTTTTCCTACTCGTACTGATTCCTTCAGTTCCTATTTCCGATGTGTTCCCCAGCATTTCAGAGATATTATTTGTGTCATCCTTTGCGATGACAGAACCAAAATATGTAGTTAATTTATTCCGCGTGATAACTACCCCTATTTCTGATTGTAAGGGATTTGTTTTCATTAATCTGTTTTTCTGTTCATTATATCTTTAAGAACTTGTACAAACAGTGCGTATGTACTTCAGAAGCTTACTCTTACATTTTATTTTTCTTCTTTTAACCAATCCTTTAATCCTGTTTTGGTGAAATCTGAACTGTTCCAGTCTTCAGATCTGCTGTTCTTTTTAGACAATTTGCACCCCTCTTCCATGGATCCTGTACTATCCCTAATGTTTCTGCTAAGCCATGGCAGGGCCACCTTTCCTGTTTTGTTCTGTGTCTGACAGGAATGAACAACAGTTGAAGTTCCTCCATGTGCTCTTTAAATGTTTGTTATTCCTTTCAAGTTATGTTCCCCAATTTGTTGTAGCCTCTCACACTTCATACTGTCTTATTTTCCTCTATGTAGGTTTTGGCCCCGAGTCTCAGAATCAACTGTCTTGGAGTTCTATCACTGAGTTCTTCATTCTCCCACAAGGGGCCTCACACAGCAAGATTGCGAATTATTCCCTTCTCATTACACAATGAAAAATTCAAAATTAAAGTTGTCATAGTCTCAGGGAGAGAGGAAAGGCTAATGTGTTTTAACCTGAGGGTCAACGTGCCTCAGGCAGGTGGCAACGTTAAGAATGTGGGACCTTCATGGTGACCTCAGGCTGTATAGGAATTGAGCATGTGCAATTGGCGTCAC